TATCGGATTTTGATGAAAAGAAACGATCAAGAGCCGTTTCTATACCAAGGGATAAAAAAGGACTGGCATGTAATGAAACGATCTGCGCATCGGAAATCTTGTATGAAACTATGGGTATGAAAGAATCTGAAAACCAAATGGCCGAGGCCCCGCTACTACTACTGCGCATCTAGCTCCACGTATCCAATCAGTGGAACCAAGATCTACTTGTTCAAGACGTCGCCCGACGATACCCCAACATCCACGGACAACTTGAGTCCAAAGCTATCAATCTTGAATACGTTAATGGTGTCCACGAAAGTGCTGTTGTTGTCCACATTGCTCGCCAAGTCAACCCCGTCCCGCGTGATCATCTCTGTGCTACCCACAGTATTTACATTGTAGAGACTGATGTCATACGTGTTGCGGTCCCCTTCGATCGACAGGATGCGCGACTGGCACACCGCACCAGCGCCAACCTGCGAGCAGTCTGTCGAGTAGTTGTCGAAGAAAGAGTATAGTCCCACCCCGTATCCGAGGATGTTGTTGCTGCGGAGAATACGCAGACCCCAGCCTGAAGCTGTGTTTGGCGATGTTGAGTTTGTTCCATTCGAAGGCGTAGCCGTGAAGACTGGGTCGGACAAGGCTGGAACGGTTGGGAAGGGAATGAGGGCATCAGGGTTAGGCTGATAGTAGGCAGTCTCGGTTTGAATCTGACCCATGAAGACGTTTCGTGTGTCGACGAACTGGTACTCATAGAGAACGTGGTGCTCGACTGCTGTGCCGTATCTACCTGAGCGTTAGTTACTGCTAACGAAACAATGACGATTTCCAAACTTACAACCATAAAGTTCCCCGAAGACTTTCAATCAGCAGACCGCGGCCAGCATAGATAGTGATCTGAGTGTTGTTGTTACGCGCATCATCGAGATCGTGGTCAGCAGTCCAGAGCCAGTTGTTCTCCATATACAGCCCTGAACTGTACTTGGTGACATGCATCGACATGTAAGCTGCAATGCATTCTTCGACCAAATTTTCGGAAGTGGTGACGAGATCGGGTGTCTTTTCGCACTGCTCGGTTTGCAGGTCTGATCCTGCGAATCCTCCAATACGAGTGTGCACATCCCAAAGGCCAGCAGGTTCGCCAGTAGGAGAGTAAAGGTTGTATTCAATCAGAACAGCGCCAGCTTGTTGGCCTTTTGTGCTGACAAAGAGGTCAGAAAGTTCGACTCGACCTTGTTCTCCTGGCTGAGCGATTTGCACGACTGGCTTAGGAAGGGACATGTCGTTGAAGAAGGGACCAGAGGAAAGGATGACAGAAGCAAGGGCTTCTCCGACGATAGTGGAACCTGGTGGGACGTAGATCGTCGAGGTGACTAGATAGAAACCAGCGTCAAGGAAAAGAATCTTGCCTTCAGCCTTAGCCCTTAGGATTGCAGCGTTGAGAGCATCAGTGTCATCGGTTCGGCCATCTCCAGTAACTCCAAGGCTACGTGCGCTAAGAAATTGTGATAGAGGAATCTCGCCATACTGAGGCTTCGAGCGCTCGTAGTATTTGCCTTCCGCGTCCAACAACTCTGCTGGTCGCTTAGTGGAAGCGATAGCGCCTTGTGCTTCAACCGGACCGTTCGGAAGGTATCGATGCCCGTCAGCCCAAGCGTCAATGACCGAAGTACCAGGAGATCCTGCCAGATAGGTTCCATTTGGACCAAGTACAGCAGTACCGACATTATCGAGTTTGACATTCTCCAAGTACAAGGCTGCGGCACCAGCAGGCTCAGAATTGGCAGTCCTGGAGGTAACGATACCAATCGGGGTATTGTTGATTTCACTGTCAAAGAAGGTAATAGATCCCACGTTAACCGCGGCAGGGCCACCGGCAGACATGTTCAAACCAACCCTACAATTGTTAATAGAGACAGACTTGTACGTCCAGCCCCAATCCCAGAGCTGCTCAATAGCAGTGTTGACATTGTTGAACGTGAGGTTTCGAGTAGTGAACTGTTGGTTGCCGACGCTGAACCCTTTGTTTCCTCCGTTGAAAACAAGGTCAGTCATAAAACCACCAGATCCTTCCTCAACGAAGAGTCCCTGGTGCAGTGTTCCGTTGTCGGCATTCATGTTAAACACTACATTCTGGATGCTTGTAGTTTGTGCAGTTGGCCAGTGAATTCCAGTAGCTGAAAAGTTAGCTGGGAGGTGTGTCATGTCAAGGATAAGGTTGCGAATCTGGCGGAAGAATGTGTTTGTAGGTCCAAAGCCAGTTCGACCGGGTCGGGTTCCAGTGCCTAGGTATGGAGAGCCATCGATTAATCCTAGACCGCCTGTGGAAGAAAAATTGGCTGCAGCCTTGATCGTAGGAAGACAATTTGGGTTTCCGATGATCTTGCAGGAATTAGTCAAAGTAACTCATACAGAGAGGCTTATCGTTTCGAGTTATGCCTGATACGTAACGTCTTTGCGAGAGGTATACACGTAATGTCCCATCCACTTGCTAACGAGTGATGGGATGGTGTATGCCTCTAGAACACGTTTGTATATCTAGCTATTCGGACTCTGCGGGCTGCATACCTGAGTGTAGTAATAGTCAATGAGACTGCTCGAGATCAAGTAAGTCCCGCCAGGAAAGTATACAATAGCAGGCTCATTGGTAGAGCTCTCGCAGGATGACGGGGCACATCTGCTCCCCTCTGTGATCGCTTTCTGAATGGCGGCAGTATCATCGGTAATTCCGTCGCCGACAGCGCCATAAGACTTGACATTCCTGAACACTGTGTAGTTGTTTGGGTTTGGATTGAAACTAGCAACGCCCTGGTGCTTTATATCCTCTAGCCAGTATGGGGCGCACGACGAATCTTGATTTGCAGATTGACGAGGCTGAGCATGTGGGTGGGCGTGGCGGCTTGCAAAGCGCAAGTTGGATGATTCGTGGACATATCCGTTGGTGGAACGAGCGGACAGCGCGAGTGCGCAAGTGGAATACAACCCTAACACGAGGGAAGTTGTAGGAACCAACATCTTAGTAAGATAAGAAAACAGTAAGAATAACGAGCGACAGGAAGGTAGACAGAGTAAGTCGACAAACGACTAGCCTTACGGTACACCACATATTAATATATCAAGGCGAGAGCTGACTCCCTGTAATGGCTGTCATAGGGCCGATCGACAGTGAACTACGCGGCGGCGATCAGTCATGCCTACTTGCTTGGCTGATTGGACACGCAAGCCGTGCTGCAGTGTGGTGCACCTCAGCTCGGACTTGGACCGCGGTGCATGTGGCGTACATGTTGACGGCATACTTCTGGGGGCTGAAACACTTAGTTTAACGGTTCGCGAAGCCTCATTACAGGGCCAGCCAGCCCTATGTTAATTCTGATGGTGAAAGCATAGGCTGCCCAGGCGCCTTGGAGCCATCGCTTTATGTAGTGTGACTATGCACAAGAGCTGATGATGTTACCACGCGCTGCAGATGACATGCATGCAAGTGGACTTTTCAATTGTCTCCTGTGTCAGCCCCACTAAGAACTCAACACCACCTTACCCCCAAATATTAAGATGCGGATCGACTGTCTCAACACGTGCTTGCAGCTTGCTCCGCGGCAGTGTGGCGCCACGGCGCTATGACGACCATGAATATGGTTCCGTGCCCTGTGTAGGTTCGAGACAGGGGTACTTGTTTAGTGATCTGTGAAATGAGATGGTCTTGGGCTAGGTATCCAAGGGGTGGCATACTGTACAAAGGCACGTTAAGTCGAGTAAGCTTGGCTTGCTAGTTAGGATGATGCATCTGCTCCAAATCACCGAGACACTCTTACGGCCGAAAAGTTCGAGACGGAGTGAGAGATGCGCAAGTCACTCCGATTCCACTAGGTGTCTCTGATAGACAATAAGAACGACATGTCCAGATGTTGGAAAGACGCCCGGGTTCTGTCGGGCAGACTGCGTAAATGAGGGTATCAGCGTCGTGCAACGATACAGAGAAAAAGGATATGAAAAAATTGCTCCTTTCATGCTGACGGAGGAGAGGGACGCATAACAAACAAGCTGGGAAGGTACGCGCAGGCACGTGACCGATCTCATCGGAAACATCGCAGCCCAAACTCCGACAATCCAAACTTTTGCGTATCGAAGTGCAGTGTGAACGTCATCTTTGAGATATCCATCTTGCACACCACTACAACCCTTCTTGTGATTCACCGCACAGATCATACAAGACATAAAGAAAATGTTTGGAGGTTGGTTCTAACAATCATGACAGAAGAGTCACAGACAATGATACTAACGTGCATGACAGCACCACCCCAACCATCCAAGCAGGAGCTTGCTGCGGCTGAAGCACAGACTATGACCGATATCAAGTGGACAGCAGCCAGCGCTGTTGTGCTTTATTTCTGTAAGAGCAACCAGAGACTGGGTAGTATACAGATGTAAGACTAACATGTTGCCTGTAGCACCTCATCTCGTCGAATACGTCTCGAAGCTCTTCTAAGCAACGACCCTTCCTGCGATCATGAACTTTTCCACGCCACCTTGACGCTGGACGTAAACAAGCTTAGACTCGGAGACACCCAGCGATATACCAGCAAATTTCTTTATAACATGTGCGCAAGGGATGCGCTTGTAACTATACTTGTCTATACTGTAGGCTCTACATATTGAACGGACACAAATACCCTTACCGTATACATGTTATTGACACATATTTCTTGAGAATCGGCGGGAAATCACGGAAGACCAACTGGCATATGCACGATGATATCAAAACCTAAAACACTGAGTGGCCAGGACAAGTGAACTTGGTGCTTTCAGTCAGCTAGAAAGGACTGCTATGTGAATAAAAAAAATCGATCACCAATGCTCCAACGCACACTATGATGAAGATGAGATATTATGCAACGCTTAATTGTACGTCTTCTATGTATCCGTCCGCTGCTTGGTATCTCACGACGCCCGACTTTCGAAATATAACCTCCAGATCGCCTATGAATCGTACATGCCGAACACGCCACCGCATTATGCTCTTATCGCTTTGTCGGCCTTGATTGCTGCGCCGTCTCCCATTCATCGTACTCGTCTCTAGTGTCGTCGACCCATTTCTTGAGGTGCTCGAGTTGTCGGTCGTAGTCTTTGAGCAGCTACAGTACATTGTTAGTGTATGCAAGGCGTCATGAAGCTGGCTTCTTACCTTCTCTAGTGCCTTTTGATCTTCATCTGTAAGGAGTTCACCATTTTGTTGCTGCTCAATTGTTTTGCCCAGCTTTTCGGTCTCCTCCTGAAGGATACGCGCCCGCTCGCGCACACCAGACATACGCGCCCAGATCTCTTCTTGCCGCCCGCCAAGTACGGGATCGAACGTCTGCTTCTCCAACTCGATGAGCTTCTTCTTCAGGTCCTCCTCTGGCTGATCCATGACGTATCCTCGGTTACGCAGGATCTGGACCTTGGTTGCAAGGGCTAGTGTTCGTTGTGTGAAAACGATGTGCTTCCGCTTTGCTTCAGTGATGCGCGAAGCTACAGTCAGCTCGTGCGCGTCTTTGAGAAGTGACAGACTGTTGTTGATCTCGTGCAGTCTGGTCCGGAGCGCGGTGACGGCAGCTGCTTGTTGCTTGATGCGTTCTCCAACCTGTTCAAAGCCGCGGGCAAGCACAGGAATGGCACCTGGGCTTGGCTTCTTTGACAAAGCCTCCTCCCATTTCCGTTCGTCTTCGCCTTGCGAGGGCCCGTAGAAGGGCGCTTCTTCGGGCTTGACCGAGTTATAGAAGTAGTATTGGAAGACGCATTCAGGGTTCTCGGGGTCCCACTTGTTGTTGAGAATCCGTATCTGCTCGATGACCGACTTCTCTCCTAACAAGTGTTAGCATAGCTTCAGCAAATGAGTTGAAAGGTTCATACTGTGACCGGTCATGTAGGCAGAGCCAGCAAAAGGTTGTGCAGAAGACTGGCGCAGTTGCGGAAGCCCTTCGCGCTGTTGCTGAACGCTTTGCGCCTGTACATTGTTGAGAACAGGTGCTGGCTGCAACGAGGCGCCGAATAGGCTATTGCCCATGTTTGGCTGTTGCTGTTGCCCCTGTTGTTGTTGCTGCTGCTGCTGCTGCTGCTGGGGTTGGCCGAATAGACTCGAACCTGCATTTTGCTGCTGTTGCTGTTGTTGCGGCTGGCCAAACAAGCTCGATCCGGAGTTCTGTTGCTGTGGTTGTGTTGATCCAAACAAGCTATTGTTGTTGTTGTTATTGTTATTCTGGGGGGCGGTCGATGACCCGAAGAGGCTGCCAGACTGTGTCGCGTTTGACTGCTGTGGCTGTTGCTGCTGCGATTGACCAAACAGACCACCAGCTGGTGCTGTGGTGCTTCCAAAAAGAGTGCCCGTCTTCTTCTCCCCACCAGCCGTGTTTCCAAAGCTGAATGACATGTTGTATAAAGCCTGGGGTATGCGCGTATCCTCCTAGGCAGATTCGATGGTGTTGTAAACGAGTGGTGCTGTCCGAAGTCGCGAATGGAAGAACTTCAGATGTTTGTTTTCGGTCGCGCGTGGGTGCGCGAAGAGGAAACGGCGGAGACGCTGGCGCAGGGATAATTCTCAAGCAAGCTCAGTCTGCGCGCATTCTGATTGCCGAGAGACGTCAAATCCGTGCAAGAGGTGTAGTGGAGGTGCAGGTTAAATGGTGGGAGCGTGTTGTCTCTCACTCACAAAGGACAGGCACCAAGCTGCGGCCGATCGCATCCCTGCCAGTTTTAGTGAACCGCCAAGACCGAGTTCCGCGACGACCTCACGAGCATCATCTTCAATTCATAAGCAGATAGCCCGCCATTGGCACCTCACCCTCAAGATGTCGTCGCGCCAGCCCAGGTAAACTCTCTCTTCTCGTCTCATAGCTAGCTCCAAGCGCTAAATAGTTTGCAGGTTCAACCAGCAAGCCCTCATCGACACCACCCCTCTACCCGACGACATCCCCAAGGTCAAAGAGCTCGGAGCCAGTTCTGCGCCCCTCCTAAGTGCCTCGTTCTTCATTGGCGCGCGATGCAAGGCCTACAACGATGATTACATGATGTGCAAGACTGAGGCCAACGGCCGGGGAGAGTTCGACTGTATGAAGGAGGGCCGTAAGGTCACCAGGTGTGCGGCTAGCGTGTACGTACCAGCAGAAGGCCCCCTTCTATACCTTGGTTGTTGACACATATGGCAGTATCAAGGACATCAACGAGAACTGCCTGGCAGAGTTCCGCACCCACTGGCAATGCCTAGAGAACCACAACCAGCAACTCTGGAACTGCCGGTCAGAAGAGCGCAAGCTGAACAAGTGTGTGTTCGAAAAGCTGGTATGCTGGAATATCACTCTGGCTCATGTCCTTCACTAATATGGTTTTAGAAATTGGAGAAGACGATACCAGATGCGCCCAAGGGTGAGACCCCAGTCCACCTGCGCACACGCAACATCTTTGCGACTCATTAAGCTTTGTACATATTTGCCGCCGGAAAGGACACCAAGGATAAATGAACGACATCACCTGAAATGTGTGACTATGACAAAACACTGCATGACTGTTTGTATTGTGACAGCGGCCCATTCTTTCCTACTGTATTCCATAATGTCACTTGGCGCATCTCCCGACCATGTTACGAAGAAGCTCGCCTTTCTCTTTCTGGGGTCTAGCATTCCAAGTCTAAATGTCTATGTTCTATTGTATGTGTGGCTCGCTAGATTTTATGCGAATACTTCAGGGTACTTTATGGCGCAAGTGAATTCGAGTGGTTCACCATTTACCATCACCGCAATGCTTCAATCTTCACTGTCACCTGCTATTGTTCAACAATGCAGCTATTATTTTTAAGTTCTCGCCATCTCGGCTGCAGCTACTCCTTACGGCTTCCCTTCTCTCACCCAAAGCCACCATCTACTTCTCCGTCATCATACCTTTGACATCCTTGTAGCACGTTTCTTGAGTATCTACTACTCTAGTTGTCGCTCTGGTTCCATTACGCGTGTTATCGGATCAGTCATGTCCAACCCCTTCTGCGATAACTATGTAGACGACGCCTCTACTCCGCCCACCTCACCAATCTCCGATGGCATATCCGAGCCTATCGATTGGAATAACCGTAACTTGGTGTATCTTCTCAGCGTCTTGAGACCCGAAGAGGTTGCAGCCGATATACTCGTCTTCGATCCTCCACTTGAGGTTCTAGAGGATCTTACATACCCCTTCCATCTGCAGATCCACAAGAAGGCTATCTCCAACCGCACCGACAGTTGTCCATATTCCAAGGACGCTCCCATCTGCACTGGGCGCCCTCAACCATGCACGTTGGTTGCTGAATCAAACCGCGAGTGCTTGAGCCCAGAACTCGCTCGTCGCTCCCTCGCTTACGATCTGCTCTCTAATATCGAGCTCGTCGACGCTACCATTGCCAGATACAACGCACTTTGGTTCATTCATAGCAGCGATGTGGCTACATTGGAGTCTATACTACGCGCCATGTGCGAGATGATCACTATTGCAGACGACGAGTGGCAGGGTCGCCTCGATCAGCTGTGCGGCATGGCCGCTGGAGACTACACTGGCCAGTGTGTCGATGGAGACTGTTCCGCGGAGACACGTCTGGAGTTCCATTTTCTAATGACAGGCAGGATTGCTTTGGAGGATTGGATCCGGTGTGTCGGTGCTTGCTTGGGCATGGACCCTGAGAAAGAAAGGGCAGCGCACGCAGAGGTGTACGATGAGGCAGGCAGCTTCCTCGCTAGGGCATTCTATCAGATGACAGGTTAGACATGAGGGTTGTGGGGACTTTCGAAGTCATGTTTAGGATGGATGGAAGCGAGCGTAGGTGAGGATGAAGCCTCCAGACATACACATCGCCAACACGTCTTTACCATTCGAGCACTTTCAATACAGTTATCTAGGCTTCGTGGAGCTACTGGGTATCTCTATCACACAATCGTAATCATTACCACATCTAGTCTTAAGCCCTCCTGCTGCTACCGCCACCACCTCTCGCAGCACCTAAGAACCTATCTCTCAAGCTACCCCTATTGGCCGCAGCATTCCCCGCCGGCGAACTCCGCAGAAAAGAGCTACCTTCAAGAAATGAACTACTCCCATCCATACCAAAGCTACTCCTTCCATTTCCCAGATCGACCCCGAGACTGACTCTTCCAACCGCAGGATGTCCACCCCCAAACAACATACCACCAGGCAGCCCCGAGCTTCTGCGACTGGAATTACGACGTCCACTTGAACGGCGCCTTGTTGAGCGTCTCGAACGCACAGAGCTGAGTCCAGGTGGAAGAGCGCTGGTATCCATGTCGCTGTCATCTTCGAGTTCAGAATCCGTGTGTTCGTAGCTCCCAGCTTCAGGAACATCGTCATCGAGATCGCGTTCATCTTGCAACACGCCTGCCATTTCCGCCTCTTCCATCTCCAGCATATGAGACACTTCTGCTTCGAGCATGCTGCCTTCTATGAAACTATCCTCATTGAAGGGTACAGTGCTTTCTTCTTGGACGTCGCCACTGACTTCACTGCCCTCCTCCTCCTCCTCCTCCTCCTCCTCCTCTGATTCTTCGTCACTCGAAACTTCAGATGCACTGGGTGTGCTTTGTGCCTCAGGGACTTCATCGTCAAGATCCCGTTCTACTTCTCCTCCGGCATCTTCTTCCATTTCTCCTCTTTCCCTTTGCTCCTCATTTGCAGCGTCCTGCTGTGCGGCTGCTAGGTCCATCATTACTTGCTCTCTGCGCTGCATCATCTCTTGCTCCTCCTTCTCTAGCCTTTCGTCGTCAATCGCTTGCAGTGTTTTGGTGACACCAGGCGGACGCAGCCAACCCGCGCCAAATCTGCGGACATTGAGTTTGCGCTGCGCGATTGTGTTTTCGTCGGCAGTCAGGCTGGATAGGAGATGGTTCTGGTGGCGACGTGGGCCGTGGTGCGAAGTTGGCCGTCGGCTGTTGTGGCCATGAGATGTGTCTGGTGGAGAGTGCGAATGGGTGTCCTCAAAGGCAGCGTGGGTGGTGTGGTGGGAAGGCCAGAGGCTGGCATCCTTGGAACATCGTCAATTCAGTTCTAGTGTTGCTTAGGTCTGAAGCTTTAGATGTTCGCTTCTTCAGTTGAAGCAGCCGAGACATATGTAAAAGTACTTACTGGGCGCGGCGCGATCATGGGTAACGAGAACATCTTGAAGCTTGTATACCCCTCAACAGCACGCTGCAGGGCGGAAAGAAGAAACCGCCAAAGTACGACGGCGCGGGTTGTGCGCGTCGAGACGCGTCGTTTGGTGTTTCCTTCGTGCTTGCTGTAAGCTGATGGCCCCACCTCGGTTCGTCCTAATGCAGGAAGGCGCTCAAGTCGGCGCCAGCAGGGCTCTACGTACGCTCTCCATACTGCCCTCCACTCCACCCTATACATCTACCTTGTCCCGTAGACTATTTAGAGAGCTGGATTCTTTTGTCAGCTGTACCTCTATCATGGGTAACCACAATTCTACTCGGTCAGCATCACATCTTCCTTTCAGGACCGAAATTATGTCCTAAGGGTCCTGAGGTTCATGCTACTTAGACTTTAAAAGTCATACCAATTTCCCAAGCCTTCGTTTTAGAATAATCCAGTTGGAACCTCGACGTTATGGTCGGAAGGAAATTTTAGTATTTATATGCTTTTTGGATAAAAGACGATGGCGGAGTGGCACATGTTTTCTGGCCTTGGTTGCTGTGAGCATCTGCTTAGGATTCCCAAAGGACGTACGTATGTACTCCCGTCTAGATAAATGGATAGATACTGTGGTATTTCGTATGCATGAGCTGCTTCTTCACCTGGCTACCAAAGAGATCCATGGATCTGCAAGGATAATATGTTGTCTGTCCTTGTTTACATCACATGCTCGCAGTATCCAATACCCGGGCTGCTTAAAGACTGACCGTGTAAAAGCGTACAACCGTTCTCTGGATAGACCATGACGCTATCAAAGCAACATGGAAATCACAATGATCTTGGTGATTTCTGAATGTCATGAATCACCCTTACGTTTACGAATTAAAAGGATGAGAACTAGAAGCCATTTGAGTCAGAACTGGTGATACTACTCGTAAAGATATTGCAGTATTTTTTGAGAATTTTAGATCCAGACACGATCAAGTCAACTCTCCTATTACTCGCTTTTTGCTCTGTTCAACAACAAAGGGAGAGAAAAGCCAGACGCTGGACTCCATATTGGTCGAATCAAGATCGATATGCAAACATCGATGGGCTCGGTCAAAAACTCACCGTGAGGGACTCAATCACCAAGACCGTAACACATTCATGGAAGCCGCATAGACTCGAAGAATTCGTTGTATCGGCCCGAGCAGGGACGACTGGTACCATACCCGGTATCAAGAAGATTCAAGGAATACATGAAACCTACTGTGTACGACGTTGATCCACAAGAGAGCCCCAGAACCTCCGGAAGCCGTTATAGGCGCGCTGAAAGATTTGACATATTAATCATGTTTCGTCCGTGGGGGTGGATTCATGATCAAGTGTCGGGCTTGTTGTCGGCCGCAAAAAGCGATAGTAAGCGCTTCGTAGCAATGAATACTACTACAACGAGGAAATCCCTTGCGAATGCAGTTTACAAATCGGGCAGCAATATGTCGAAAACGGCTGTCATATCATCGTTCAATCGGCCCTGCATGAAGTCATGTTCAGCCTCCGCGGACACTAATCGTGATGCGTACTTGTACCTGTACATCCTTCCAGATCGAAGGAGAACGGCGCATCTCCACCTTACTATTCCCGCTGTTACATTCGAACGTCGTCAGCCTTTGCTGCGCTTGGAATTAATCGTCCTTCGTCTACGGCACCACTTCGGGCGCATCCATGCATCTCTTCCACTTTTGCTCCGGCTTGTCGGTCACCTCCGCCTCCGACATCGCGAATCGCGGATCCAACGATTCGCAAGGACGTGACACGCGCCGGTACGAGGCTGGTAGTGGGCAGGTACGGACGCGATGTAGACGTAGCCTATCTTAAAAAAGCATCTCATCACCATAATCTCCGCGTCCGTCAAAAAGACTATTTTGATATGGCATGGCTAACGATGCGACATCTGTGCGATCCGTCTGCCGTGCTGGGATCCCCCATTGAGAAGTCCCGGAGGTGCGCCCGCCGCACGAGAACGGTTGCTTGGCTGCTAAAGCTTAATGCTTACTTTGGCGCTAGCATCGCGCATTTTAGCCGCTTCGCCGCCCACGGACGGGTCGAGATTCCAGGCGTGCAGCCCATGGCTTGAGAGGATGCGGCATGAGCAAGCGAAAGTAAACAGGCTGAGATGTGTGGCAGTGACGATCGAGAAGCCGCGTCGGAACGAAACACGGTGAAGAGATTTCGGATAGCGGGTAGCGGGTAGCGGGAATGATGCCTAACTGCGGTTCAGGCATGCAATCGAGGAAGGGAATGTTGATCCTTGCAGCATTCCACAGAGACGGCGTTCTCTAAGCTGCAATAGCAGAACGTATCCCAAAGCATAGCTATGGTAAGAAAAATAGGTTGCTCTAGTTGCATCTTGCTACGACTAAGGAGAGGCTGGCAATACCGTAACCCACAAGGCGTCCGTATGGGTTGGCTGCTGCTAAGAACATATTGCCGTAGTGCAAAAGGCACGACGCAGGAGAGTTTTGCAAGTGGAGACCAGCCTATTCATGTGCTATGTCGAGAGGTCCTGTCCTTGGAAAACGAAGCTCCGCTTACAACCTGGACGCGCACTGCACCAACACGCGCGCTAGCAGTGTCCAGCGTCGAGAACTTTGCTACGGAAACGTAAGAGGCGCCATTTTAGGGTTGCAATATCACCTGAGTGGCTGGCTGTGCGTCCGCGATAACGGTATCATGGGAATGCTGCAGATTGTCAGCAACAGCGACAGGGTGCAGTTCGTTCGCGTGTGGGAGGAGAGGGGTAAGGATCCTATGTACTGAGTACTTTCCCATGGGGCTGCTTTATACCAGAGCCACTTATCTGCCCGTTTCCAGGACCGTTGAGTTCGTGTCGTGCCGCTGAGCCCACAATCACACCACCTGGATACTCAATGTAGAAAAGGCGTCCATCTCAATACAGAATGGTAGGCTACTATGGACCTGGTCCGTGACGTTGTGGGCAGGGGAAGGCGACGAAATTGGGTACGCAGATATTGCCGAAGCCTTGGACATGCATTGTGTTGCACCTGAGGGGTTTTGTGTGGCTCGAAAGGTGGTGTTCTGGCAAGCAGGCTCATTCGTGCGTTTGGTAAGCGAAACGATTGCGAATACAGTGCATACATAACGGTTTCTCTTCGTTGGAGCATTAATGTCCGGCTGGTTGAGTCAAGCTTCAACTCATCCCAGTGTTGGACAGATGGTATCTTGACCAACGGCTCTGCAGTCTCACCAAGTCACGTATGACGTATCGAAATCTTAGGAGGGTTTTTCTCCTAGTGTATATATTGAGGCTCGTGCTTTCTCAAGTGTGGCCATAATGTGCTGTAGAAGTATTCGAGGCGTTTTACGTATTTCAAGCATAATATCGGTTCTAGTGAATATCTTCACAGTCAAATCAGTTCTGCTATTGGGTGTCGTACCTTAGATAATACGAATATCTTTATGTATAACAACGATCTCATCGTACATGTGTGTGTGTGTGTGTGCTACATATGAGGGACATATGTGGTACGTTGGTGTAGCTTGTCAATCGTGGCGAGACTGTCTTGCGTCGAGTTGCTCACGGATGTCGTTGAACAATTCTACGCTCCACAACATGTACG